TCCTTCATCAAAAGTCTGGCATCTGATGGAGGTGCTAACATGTCAAGTACACACACCTTGAAACGGCAGTATGACTGTACTGAGGTCAACTGATATTGCAAAATATTTACTAGAGAAAGAACATGACCCCCTAGTCCTCCCAAATGTCTCATTTTCTCCATAATATGTCAAAGAAAGTTATTAAACAAATGAGAACACAGGAACATTGAGGAAGGCCCAAACGGGTTCCAAAATTAATTAAGTTGGGTGAATTGTCTACTATAGTTCTATCCCAGGGGATTCTTACTAGAATTTTTCCTACCTGAAATTTTTCCTTACTAAATTTTTTGAAAAAGCTTCTTCAGGTGGGAAAACTCTGGAATCAGTGGGGGTTGAAAACAGAAGTCCTGTGGTATATCTAGGTAAAACATTAAGCAGAACAAATGTAGCTGCTCTAAAAGTGGGAGATCTTTCTACTCTTTGTTGTTTGCCCTTACTTCATTCATTCAAAAATATTTTTGAACATCCACTATTCATCAATGTCTGCTCTAAATCCTGGACAAAGAGCAACAAAGGAAGATAGTCAAGGTCCCTGCTCTCAAAGAGCTTATCTTATAATATTGGAGAGAAAAACAACATAACAACTGAAAAGCAAGTAAATAACTCTCAGGGATAATTATGTGCTGTGCAGTAGTTGAAGGGGACGATTTACTGAGGAGTGTCTGGGTGACTGCTTTAGATTGGGTGGTCAGGGAAGTGGGTGACATTAAGCTGAGATTTGAAAGACAAGAAGTAGCCAGCTATGAGAAGCTGAACATTCCAGGGAGTAATAGAACATTCCAGGCAAAGGAACAACTTGTACTTAAATTTGTGTTTAGGAGTGTGGGGGAACCCATAAGGAACTTCCAAATATAGAAATCCTGGCACAGTTAAGTCACTGATAAAGAGTGACATAGGCTGCTATTTCCTTCTATCTCTCAAACACTTCCATCTCTCATTCCTATATGTGCAATGAAGGGATGTTTGTGTGATTTTAAACTGCTAATTACTATGAAGGCATAGTAGTGTCCTTGTCAGCCTAGAATAGGCATAAGGTGACACCAAAAACACCTGGTACCTTGGTATGAAAGAGTTTATAGGACGTGCCCCTCTCTTGAGACACGATTTGCAGAAACAATTGGATATGTAATGGTAGGTGTGGACACAAGGAGAAAGAAGAGAAGCAAATTTAATAAAATGCAATTATTTCAACCCCGAACTTGTTTTTCTTCAAGATAGGAAATGATGTTGTTCTTTCTTTAGAGACAGGAGAAGAAAAAGTGGTAAAAGTAGGAGCAAAGAGAACTGTTGATTTTAGCATAGAAGAAAAATTTAAACCATTTCATTATCTTTGTCTTTGTCAAAAGGGCGTGGACTTTTATGGCAAGTTATATATTTTTGGCACTAGAGTGGAAATAAGCGTAACTTTATCTGCTGGCCTGGCTTATTTCTGGGTGCAGGGACTTGCCCATGGCTTCATCCTTTAGTAACTTCCCTTTTGATTACTTATTTTGATTTTGCCTCTTCCCGGGATTTATCTACCTCCTTCTCACAAGACCTAGAATAGAAAGAAATAAATGTGATTTGAATACTGAACCTTGTTATTTATAGATTGTTTGGTCTAATTTAAGAGAGAAAGCTCAGTGGAAAAACAGATCATGCTTTTCTATGTTTTGCAAATCACTTACTGAATTTGGCATTGACAAATTTCCTTCTGGTATTTATTCTTAGAAATCCATGCACATCCATGCCTTTGAAGGACTGTTTTGTAGAATAAAGAGAAACCAGGATTTTTACATTGAGCCCTACATTTATTTTGAATTTTTAGGCACTATTTGTAGAGAAAGGACAGCAAGAGACTTATATGATACAGGAAAAGAATAAAACAAATAGTAAGGTGGGTTTATGCTATTCCCTCTGATAATACTTATGATTTCAGTACCATGTTGCTTTCTTTGTGCTGTCATAGGAGATTATGAATATTGGTCACAGGAATAACTCCACAGTTTTTTGTTTTTATCTTTTCTTGTGCAGTCCTTACTGTACTTCAGGGCTCCACAGTAAGTGGCAAAGCATTCCACAAGTCCTGTGTGCAGGGCCTCTAGCACTTAGCAAATGGTCTGCATTTAATTATACTCAACTTGTACTTGAGGGATAGTGTCAGAGATAAAGATAGTGAGAGATACAGAAAATGAAGTGGATGCCTCCATGACACCAAGCCAGGAGACTCACCTTACGCAGGTATGACAGACCCAGAGGGAGGTCTGGGCTGCTTGTAAACTCTACTGATGAGGATACTGGTGAGGATTTCTACTGGGTAACAGAAGATGGGGGCCGAACTAGGGGAAAGAGTTTATGACAGTTCTATCTTCTCATGATTTTATCTTAGACAATTTTTTCTCTTACCCACGATCACAATTGAAGCTATTTGAGGGGAAAAAAACGCAGAGATTTTCTTTTTGAAAATGACCTGTTTTTCCCCCAGGAATCTGACAAGTAAAACACAATTTTCAGATTAATTCATTGTGAGAGTGTTTTAGTTTGGACTATGAGTCACATGTTGTACCAACTGAGCTAGCCAGGTGTTCCCACAGCTGACCACCAGAGACAAGTAAAATTCCATTGTTTTTCCAATGTGTTAAAAGGAATAAATAGATGTGTAAGGATTTTCCTTGGTAGTTACCTGTAGTCATAAATTATTCAAGTATGTCACTCCATAACATTTCCCTATCAGTGGACACAATGCATAAAGCAAGGAGCAGACCTTTTTCAGAAGAGACTGTAACAATAAAGGAGTAGAAGACCTCAGACCAAACCAATGCCACAGGTCACTTCAAGTGGTAAAAATATTTTCTTCAATTTCTTCTGAATGCTGAATTATCACATCAGCATGCGTGTATTTTATAATTAAAATAAAGTCCAATACAGTACTTATTATATGTCACAAGAAAACTTAAAAGTTGAAAAATATCAACACATACTATCTTCTACCTAGTTAAATGAGAGGTAATTATACATTATGGAGATTATCAAGTGATGCTCTAAAGAAATACTTAAACACACAAGGATTTGAAAAAACAAACAGTGGCAAAGTCTAGTACAGGTTAATGCTACGTCTAAGTTGCCAGGTTTTGTGTAGGTGCCTGTTCTGCTTTCCCTTAAATTTCCTTATGAAGGAGGGGTGACCTCTCTGTCTCAAACACTATGTCCTCTATTTCCTATATCATATCTCACATTGGAAATTTGACTCATAAGATAGTTGAATGTGACTCTTCAAACTCATGCCTAAACTACTCATCTTCTTAATAAGCATAAAATTGTCTCACCTGTGTTTTGTAGACATTCCTCTCCCCCTCCCCCACCTGGCCATAATACATGCAGCATCAAGATAACAGAGCTAAAATCTTAAGAGCTGTTGAAATGCCTGAGATAAGAAGGGCTGTAAGCACCTGTTAACAGCTTCTCATGTTTACTTGTCTTTGATTTATAACCAATTTATGATGGTCATTAGAGTAGATACACTTCACTTAATCAAGAGCACAGTGAAATCCTACTCATTAAATACATTGCCCCTTTCTTTCCCAGGAGAGCAGGTTCCTGTTTCATTAAAAAGTACTACATATACATATTCAAAACACAAAGATGAAAGAAGTCAGTTAGAGGCAATTAATTTTATGGCTGTTGCTATAAGAATGTAAGTCTCTTTTATAGCCGCTATTTTTTTAGCTTATTTTACCTACTTAGCTTCTCAATGGAGCCTGAATATAGGTCTTAAATGTTCACCTTTCACACTATTGTATACAAACCTAGTCAGTACTTCTAGCAAGTAACTGCCTTAACAAAAGAGTCAGAAGAAAATCCAAAATTAAGTGCTGGATAGAAATAGGTAGATTTTTGAAACTGTAACATAAGATTGTCCAGAAGTCTATTTTTATAAAATTCTCTGCCCTTTTGTTAACTTAAGGTGTTCTTTGGGTTGCTTTGACTTTTTGGTCAGTCTAATAATGCTCATAAAAACCTTTGGTAAGTTATAAAGCAATGTACAAATGTAAGGCATTGTTCCATTATTCTAGTTTTAATATAAACTCTAACATTTCTTCTAAATGAGCTGATCACAGAGAGAAGAGAGCATAGACTGTTTAGTACTAAATCCTTCTTGCACCAAATAAAAAGAAACATCAGAAATCCTGGGGAGCTAAAAAGGGCTTTCCTAGATTTGGGAAATTCATTCCCATGGAAATGTGACCTAGTAGAGTACATACGCGTTTTAGATGACTCTTACATTTCCACTGACCTCTGGCAGGGCAGTAACTCAAGGTCTGTTATGCTATGATAGAACCTTTTGAGTTCATTTATTTCTGCTTCTCTCTGACATTGTAAGGGCTCCATTCATAACAGCTCTCTGCTGAGTGGTGCCAATGGAAACAGCTCATGCAAGCTTTATCACTCTAAGAAAATAATGGAAATCAAATATGAAGGTGGAAATATGCAGTTCCATGAATTCCAAAGCCAAGTAGGTTGAGTTGTGAAGAGCTGTCTTCTTCCTGACAAGACTGACTCTCTGGTTTCACTTCTCTTGCCAGGATCTGCACACTCAATTTCCATCCTGTTTTTACTTTTCTCCTCTTATCTATAGCACATCTCTGTACTGATTTTAATAGAGGGGTGTAAGTACGTCCCTTCTTTGTATCCTCTTTGGAGAGTGATATATCCTTGGCCACACCTTGGAAGGTCATGCCTTTCATAGCTTTTGCTAAAGGGCAGAATTAACCAAGGTTCTCATTTACCTTCTTTATTTTTAGGTATCTTATATTTTTTGAAGGACCCCACTTAGCAGCAAGGTTGCATCAGTTAGGGACAACTTGCCTGGACAAGGGGTAACATGCCACATAGTTGAGTTCAGGCAAAACAGTGTTTTCTAACCAGAGAAGAAATTTAACAGGAGTATGGAAAGTATTATAAAGCCATGCAGAAATACTCACAGTTTTGGTTTGGCAAGCAGAGGTGGTGGCTCCTTAGTGGGTGAAAGCAGGACAGCTGGTGTTGGAAGAGATTTATTACTGTTAGCTTTGCCATTAATCAGTCCATTGACTCCATGGCTGGGATGGACTCCGTTGGTTTCCCTCTCAGAAGAATTGAATTGCATTTGAAGGGCTGCCATGCTAAGTCCTGAGTCAGGACTGTTCACTTGCTGGATCTCAGGCGGTTTCTTTGACACCAACTCAAAGGAAATTGTCTCCAAGATTGGAGGGGGAGGTGGAAAGCGTTGGAAGTGATCATTGTTGGATTCTCCCAATGAGTTGTAGCTATAGTTCTCAGCATTGGCTAAGGGAAAGGAAGGGAGGAAAAATAAAATGCTACCAGTTCAACAAGTTATTTTCCCACTGTCTTCTGTCTTCTGAGAGTCCCTTGTGTCCTGCTGTTAGAGAAGAAGTGACGGGCTGCCCTCATTGGATGCAGAAGCATTGCCAGCTGGAGTGCCTGGCTCTTCCAAGCTTGTTTTGAGTGACCACTACTTGTCTTATTTTCCGACTGAATTCATATGTGGGGAAACCACCTACCAGTTCATTAGCAAATTTCAAACAAGGGCTAAAGATAGGGCTTGGAAAATGATGACAGAAACAGTATCAACCAAAATGGTTTATCCTCCACTTCTCAGCCCATGGATTCAACTGAATATCCTATTCATGTTTACGGATGGCAGATCAAGCCATGAAAGATTTATGTGGTTATTCATTCCATTTTAAAGCTAAAAAAGGGAAAGCTCTGAGTCCCAGTGAAATGTCTCATGATCTCACAGAAAAAAATTTTCCACCTCAGATGATTGCCCCAACTGTGTAGCTAAGTATAAGAGAGATTTTCTGCTATCCTCAGTAGACTGAAAGTGTATTGAGATACTTTTTTGGATTCCTCACCTTGCCCAGAGACTAGTAGACCTTCTGGCATGTACTTAAAAATGCATACTGAGGTAAACAGAAAGCTCAAAAACATTTCTTGATTATGTTTGGCATATAGTGGATTTACTACCAGAGAAAAATAAAAAATACTATACACCAATTTTTGCCACTCAAACTTACTACTGCTATGACTGTCTGATGGGACAGTCTTCAAGCCAACTGAAAATCAAAATGCCAGGATACTCCCTGCTGTGCAACTCCACTATGACACTGGAGTTTCCATCCATATTAACCCCATTAAGGGGAACCACATTGCTTTTCTTAATGAAGATGAAGCATTACAATCCCTACTCTAAAATCTCCAAGCCAGTTTTGGTCATGCCTCTGCTGCCACCTAGCCCTGAGATCTTGCTCTTCTAGGAATCAAAGGGTGATTGAATTGTTCTCTAAGTCTGTCTCATACACCCAGAAATCCACTCACTGATTCCTTGCTATGTGTTTACTATGTGCTAGGCTTTGACAAAGAGGTTTTTTTGGTGGGACTAGGATTTGAACTCAGGGCTTCATGCTTGCAAAGCAGGGACTCTACCACTTGAGCCACACCTTTAGTTCATTTAGTTCTGGTTATTTTGGAGATGGGGGTCTCGCAAACTATTTGCCCAGCTGGCCTTGAGCCTTAGACATCCAGATTTCAGCCTCCAGAATAGGTAGGATTACAGGAGTGAGCACTGGCATCCATCCAGCAAGGAGATATTTTAAAAAATCTCTGTAAGATGACTAACAGATGAGGCAATTACCATAGCTAAAGTAAACCTCATTAGTAATAGTAGAAAATAGTTAATAAATTAAATAATAAAAGCAAAAAGCTGTTTCATATTACCTTCCCTAGTGATATGTTTTTGAATTTAGAAAACACCCATCATTTTTTGAATGTTGGTTTCAGTACTACAATATATTACTTTATTTTTCATATCCTGACATTTTCATATCAAAGCTATATTCTATCATTGAAATTTGATTTCTAAGATCGTCACGGTTTTTCTCAATTACACTAGGGTTTTTTTTGCATTACATTGTCAGAAGTTGAAGCAATGGATTAGTGAGGGAAATATTTGTATAACTATCTCCAGTTCTCATGTGACTGTACCTCTGATTTAGGGGTTCCTTATGAGGTTAATATAATTCCTATTAGCAAGAAGGTGTGAGGAATGCAGCTCCATTGTTTTCAAGATCAAGATTGCATGATTTAAAAAAATAACTTTATCCATGAGGTATCTTCTTTGTTATCTCCACTTCCACCCCCTCTGTGGCCCTCCCCCAGAGCCTTTTGTTTCAGATGAAACACCTGATTGTTAGGGTAACTCTTGGAGAATCCAGGAACATTCCTAAAGGCTGAACACTCTTCCTGGGACAGTTGCTTTCTGCCATGGGGAAACCACACCAGAGCTGGGGAACAGATCCAAGTTTGACTCCCACATACCTGAGGTGACAATTAGCTGGGCAGTGCTTGTCACTGATCCATAGTCATTTCTTGCTGAGCAGGTAAAGATTCCAGCATCTTCAGGGAAAGTCTCAGCGATAACAAGGGTGCAAATCTCCTCTGAAAGTGAACAGAATAATCAGCAGAGTGAAACCGCCGAGACCCTCTCTTTCCCAACTGCCTTCTCTGAAATCCCCGGAAGAGCAAAATTTCCAGGGTTCTAGAATAAAGCTTTCTCCATCAATGCTTTGACCATCAATGGTGAAAATGAGCAAACCTGTCTCAAAACCTACGACATATTTTGAACACTGAAAGAAAAAAGTGGTAACTGTGAGTTATTTATTTTGTCTATTAGAGGGACTGCAAAACATTTAAACATTTTATAAAGAAAATCAGTAGGTCCAAAAGGACACAAACAATAAAATATAAAATGAAAAGTCCTCCCTTTATAATCGAATTCTCTCTTTATCCAACACCCTTAATAATCTCACTCGCCAAAGATAAACATAGTTTATTATACTTGATTCTCAAAAAAACTATCCTTCATAATGTATTCAAATATTACCAAAATACATAGTTTTTGATGCAGCATTACTGAATCAAATATATATGTTTGCATTATCAAGTAATATGGCCTACAGAATCCACCACTGGGCTTTATCTTACCCCTAAAGCTTATTCCTTCCCATTCTTGATGATGCCCTAAATCATGTGGCTGGCAAACCGACTGCTTGAGATCTTCCTTAAAGTTAAAATTGCAGGATTCTTTCATGTCAAAACATTTTATTCCCATAGAAACATTTAAGGATCATAGTGATGAAAAGCTTTTGAGATTTTTAGCAATGTGGTATAGCTCAAGGTGAACTTGTTTCTATGAAGCATTAACACGTTTAAATTCGCAAAATTTATGAATGCTCCACAGTAGCTTTTCAGTATATTATTCAATTTAATCTTTGAATGGGATGTGAAAAACTCTGACCAATGTGGAACACAAAAAAAATGAATAAGTAATAGAGCTTAATAAAAGTAAATTAAAGGAACTGAAGTCATTTAGTCAAGAGTAAAGAACAATGACAGAAAAAAAGCCTGCAAGATTCCACTTATAAGGTATGTAAAATCTAAACTAGTCAAATTCTTTGCAACAAAAAGTTGAGTAGTTTTGGCCAGGGGTTGCGGAAGGGTCTGGGGAATTGCTGTTCAGGGGGTATAGAGTTGCAAACATTAAAGATGTAAAGTTCTAGAGATTTACACAACATTGTACATACAGTTAACAATAGAGTACTAGACACTTAAAAATTTAAGAAGGTAGATTTCATGTCATATATCTTTACCACAATAAAGAAAAAAGTAGAGAAATGAAATATATACTAAGTATTCATTCTTATAAATGCTAATTTAAATAAACTATTATAACAGGTACCACAAATACAAGGAAATTAGTATAAGGAAAATGTTGCCTAAATAATCTCCAACTGGGCTGTAATTCTATCATGAGGAAAGAAGGTAGATAAAATGAATAGAAGGAACTGCTAATGAAAGGTAAGATATCAAGAAAGATTTTTACAATAAAGTCTGGAATCTCCTTCTACAAGAAGATTCTAGAAGCTTTTAGAATTCATCCACCTCCTTGTTGAGTGTTTTTAAGAATATCCTCTCTTCATATCCTGTAGCTGAAGATATGAGATAAATTATGGTTCCTATCCTTGACTTGGTTGCAATCTTAAGGGGTGAGATACATCCTCTTACAAGGACTAGAATGAGAAATCTTCGGATCTATTCCAACTGCAAAAGTCTACACCTTCAATGCCCACATGCAAGAGGATATTTCTAGTTTTCCTTCTCTTCTTCAAAGCCATTCTGTCTTAAAAGGTAATCAAGTCAGATGTAAGTGAAAATGGTTATCAGCGAGTGGTAATTTGCAAAGATTTCTTGAAATATAAGGAGGAAGTAGGAAATATAAAATAGAAATAAAATTTTTAAGCAACATAAAAATTCCTGAGAAAAAGAAGAAAAATATTCTAGTGTTTACGTCTATTTCATACTTCTGGAGGGATTAAAATTCTAGTTGACTATGCAGTATTTTTTTTATAAGTGAACAGATATTATATGTATTGTAATTCTGTAATCACAAAGACAGGATTTCTTTTTTTGTCTTTTTCTCTGATCTTTCTCGATAGTTTTGTAACCCTTCCTATTGAATCTAAAAGATAAAACCAAACATAGTATCCTGAATTGTCTTCCTCTTCCTTTTTACTGAGGTATCTCTACTTTTTCAACTTGTGAATTTGTAATTTTAATAGGTAATACAAATACATGATACAGATTTTTACAAATATATGGTACAAGACTTAAAAGGTACAGACAAGTGGATAGTTTACTACGTTTTGAATAATTATGTTAACAAATTTCATGAAGCTTCAATTTGAATTGAAAACAGACTGAAGCATATACATTTCAGCTGATATCTATACAATATAACTTATTACAAAGAGATAACATGAATACACAGTTATATGACCAGACAAACTGCTTCAGATTTTATATATATATATATATATATATATATATATTTTTTATTTGCACATCCACATGAAAAGTACGGTAATAAAGAGCTCAATAGTATTTATTTTAATTAAAAGACACTTTGAGCTCTCAGTAATGTTGCTTTGCTTCAAATAACAAATTATTTTCCTTTTTAATGAAATGATGGTATCACTGAAGACTTTCTGTGCTAGAAGTAGTGAAAAATGTTGCCTCATTAAAAACTCAGCCCTATTTTTTCACAATTATAACTGAAACATGTTTTGGGGCAATATAATATGACCTCACTGGGTTACCCTGCAGCAGGTGATTTTATACATGGCATCTGTGAGTGTCATCTGACTAATGAAGGTGGCAGTTGACTGTGATAGTTCCTTTCATGTCTCTTCACTGATTAACACAAGTTTTATTTTTAAGTTTTGTGATCAAAATAGATGTTTTAAAGACATGTTTGTACACCCAATGTGAATGTGGATTTATATGGATAATACATCACAGAATTTTCTGGTTTTCCCAGTGTTTGCCTAGGTAGAAAAACAAAGCCTATTGTTTTCAAAGGAGAATATTTACTTCCAGATGTTATAGTATTGATAATAGCATAAGGAAAAACAAATTCTGAACTTAAGTTACATACTGTGTTTTAGAACTTCAATATTGTGTTCCATAAATAATGCTCAAATTTAGACCACATCCCATAAAACAGGAAACTGTAGTGTAACAGACAGGGAACAATGAACTCAGGCATGCTCACCTGTGTTCATCTTAGTGACTCCATTAGTGCGAAAAGTACCCTATCTCAAGATGCACTGTAGAAACTGGGAAAAGGCCATGAATAGTGAAAAACTATGAAGTATAATTTGCATTTAAGCTATTTTGATATCTTAAAATTAGCAATTCTATGTAGAGAGATGAAGAATAGCTAAAAGAAAAATTAACTAACAGCTGCATTCCCCTAGTTTTGTTTCTATCCTGCATTTGGCCCTTGGTATACTAAGTCCAGAAGTAGCTATAGCTGTTATTTAAATTTGTATAAATTTAAGACTATGGTGCTTTAGCTCCTCAATAAGATTGGATAATTTTTTGGAGGGGGACTACTTATGACATTTGGTGTAGGTTATCCCTAACTTTTTGCAGCTTGACTATTTTATAGTTGTGTTTTTCCAGACTTGTTTGATGATAAGAATCACCTGGAACATTTCTTAAATATTCTGATTTCCTAATCCTCTCTTCTCCCCTAGAGAGTCTGATTCAGTAGATCTGGGTTGGGGCCAAGGATTTTTTAAAAATATGCTTTCCAGATGATTTTTATCTTGAGGAAAGTATAGAAAACTTTGTCCTAAAAAGTGGATTTCGAACATTTTTTAATAGAACCCACAGAAGGAGATTCATTTTACACCTAACCCTGTCATATGTATAGGTTCAAGGTGTGAGTATGTGTGCACATGTGTGTGTGTGAAAATTTAGGCACTCTATTTTTTATCCTGTTTATTTTTTAAAATAGTGGTGATCGTCCATTGTAGGGTCATGATCAGCAGTTAAAAAACACTGCTTGTAATCACCCAGCACCATTCCTGGTGCAATAAATGTCCATTAATCCTGATTGTTTGACATATTAAGAAAAGAATTTCCAGATACAAATTTGGGAAACCCTTATTTGTTTAAAGACACAATTATAATCTGATTAAAAGGTTCACTGAATAGAAGGAAAACAATAGAGTATCAGAGAGCATGAGGTAATCCTGTGTCTTTTGACAATTCTGTACACAATTCTTGGCTTTCCAATTGAAGAGCAAGATAGAAAGTGTGGAAATAATTCAAGTTGGAGTTTCACATAAGATTAATCATTTGAGAAGTAAGATATAACTGGAAAGGTACAAGGGACTGGGAATTTTTTAATTGAATACATATGGTTACAGCATGAGTTAAGTGTGGATTTAACTGGAGAAGGGTAAATAAAACTTAGGTTATGAGTGCTCTAAGAGATTTTAGGCTGACTAGCCCAAATCTCTCATTTCTTCAGGATTGGTCCAAAGTAATTCTCTCAAGGCCATGGCTAATTAGTGTTACAGCCCAAATGCTAAACATAGGCCTCCTGCCTCCCACTGGCATGTGGTTTTTTTTTTTTTCCTAAAGCATAAAGCCTCTCTAGTTGTTCTGTATGTTTTCCTAGCTTAGGACACAAGCAACCTGGTAAAAACCAATGTAATGAAAGATTTTAAGCACTCTCCTACTCAGCCTTCCATTTCCCCAGAAACATCACAGTCTCAGAATCCCTCTCTCTCTCTCTCTTTTTAATAATTAGATTCGATCAGATTTACCACCTATTTGTGATTTGAGATGGCAAACCTCCCATGGAGACATGTATCACTACTGTATACACCCTTGGTACCCACAAGTGTATGGTTCCAGGGAGTCCTCCACTGAGGGAAAACTGCGCATGCTCAGGGTGCCTAGTGATCCTTACTATATTGCAAATGCTTGATTCTTTTCCCATAAAGCTGCCCAACTTCTGCTAAAAACATTCTGCTTTTCAACAAATTGGAAATTCTCATTTTGTTACTAAAAATTAAGTACATTAT